GAGGGAATGGATGCAGTGTGCAAAAGCTGGGCTGAGAGCAGGCAAACCGGGTGAGGCCCACTTTTGCAGAGTTCCCTTGATCTGAACATGCTGCCTGGCTGTGGTTTGTGCCACATGGTGCCAGAAGACACCATGAGTTGTGTGACCCTCACACCTGCCCACAGGGCTTCCAGGGGGAAATGAGGCAGCTCTTACTTTGGTCTGAGTGGTGCACAGATAAAGTGTCAGGTTCAGGTTTGTAAGTGACAAATGAATCAGAAATCAACATTCCTACTTGAAAAAGCAGTAATCCGTCTGTTCCTATCACTTCCAGTTTTTCTCAAAAGCATAAATTTGGGCTCTGTGTGCTCTTATTATGTAAATCAATTATCAGATATTTTTTGCCGATTGTAACCCTCTGACCTACAAAACAAAACAAAGAAGAAATTCTACTTGCACCCCTTTCAGCCTGCTGATACTAGAGGAAGAAAAATGAGTTATCTTTCTGAGGATGGAGAGGAAAAGATCTGTCCTCTGACCCATGTCCTGTTTTGGGGGCCAGGAGTGTCGAAAGTGTCAAAATTGGGTGCACAAGTAGATCCATTGAGGGCTGGGAAAAATTGAAACTCCTATTTTTTTTTTATTGTGGTAAGAACAGTTAACATAGATCAACCCTCTGACCTGTTTTTAAGTGCATAATGCAGTATTGTTAACTATAGGCACAATGTTGTACAGCAGATCTCTTTGTTTTTTTTTTTTTAATCTAAGTCATACTTTATCCATTATCAATACAGATGAATAACTTATAAATAAAAACATGTATATGGCAGGTATCTGATCAAATCAGGTGGAAGTCAACAAAGTCTGAAGGGCATATGGTCCCAGTAGTCTGTGCCTCCCAGGCTATGCCTGAAGCCCTATGGTTGGGGCCCTCCTAGCCTTAGCCTCAGGAGAGCAGCTCCACGCCTTCCACCAGAGGAACCTGGGAGATGAGCCTGCTTGTGCCCTGTCCCTGGCAGCACAGTCCTTGGCACCAGCCCGTTTCTGCTTTGTCTTGTCCAGGCAAAACGTTTCAGTCCCGAAGTCTGCCCCTCCCCAGCTGAGACCTTCCTGTCCAGTCTAATGATGTCATTATTTCCCTGCTACTGTCCTTCCTGCTCCTCCCTACCCCTGCTCCCCGGGTCTGGGGCACTGATGTTCACCTGTCCCAGGTACACCACTTCCACTAGCAGTCAGCCTCCTCTTTTAACCCCAGCTTGGCCTTGCAAATATCTATAATTTATCCTTAATAGACTAGTGTCACTATTAGTGACAGAGTTTCCATGATTTTGGAAGAACAGTGATAATGCAATAACACCAGTAGCGACGGCTGCCATGTGCGCGGCTGCTGCACACCTGTGTGTTGCACGGTCACCTCCGGCGCTCACAGCAACTGTGTAAGGTGAGGCCATCGGCCCCACTTCCGAGGCGTGATAATTAAGGTGGAGAGTTTAAGGGGAACATCTGAGCGGGACTTTGCGCACAGCTGGCCTGCCTGCCACCAAGGCCCGAATCTTTCGACCACAGCCCATGACTTTTCCTGCCACGGCTCAGGTGGTGGGGATCCGTTTATATTAATGCCACATCAGCACCGAAGTGGCCCTGCTATGAGAGAAGGATCCTCCTTCTTCTCCAGGCAAACAATCAGATTTGCAGTCTATTTGTAGATAGAAAAAGAGAAAAAAATAAGTTGATTATAAATACTTGAGGTTCATTTGGGGAAGAGTCAGAATAGTAGTTTAAAGGAACTCCAATGTCTAGAGTTTTGTTACTACCCCATGTTACTAAAGTCTCTCTTCTCAAAGCCCAGGGCACAGAACTGACCCATGAATTCTGTCCTCCTACAGATAACGCTTATTCAAGCATCTAAATACCGCCGGCAGCCTCCACAGTTGCATTTCCTGTATTTCGATAGCATCACGAACTGACCGGGGAGACGGACGATGTGGATGCAGGGCTGCAGCGTCCTGCCGGCTGCCCTGTTTGCCCGGTATAAGTAAGACTTCCATCACACAGCCATATTTACAGGCTGAAAATGGGAGCCGCTCCAGTCCCCCTCCCCCACCAAGGCTCATTGCAGCCATGACTATGACCAAGAATGTTTCCCTCCACCCTGCCTCACAGCCAGGGTAACACCTGGACCCATTTTGCTTTTCCACCTTTCAGGTGTGCGGTTGCTTCTGCAGCGGAATCAAAATGACAGATTTATGCAAGGCTGTGGGTTTGGATCAGAGAATGCCCTTGAGCAAGACCTTTATTCTCTGCTTCTGCCTACCCTTAGCTGCTGCCGCCTGAAAGAGCTGATGGAGAGGAAAACATTGTTTCTTTTTCAAACCCACTGCAGCTGTTCTCCACACCTGATACATTTAACCAGAAGATAATGCATCAACTTCCAAACGGAGCCCTTGATAGCACATTACCTATTCCCCCTGCCCCGCCCCCACCCCTACAGGATGGGGACAGATTGGTGATTGTGGGTGTAGAAAACCCTTTCCCCTCTTGAGATAAGCACCCAGTTGATGGTCTGGCTTCATGCCATTTATTCCTCTGCTTTTCGGGGGTGGCTTTCTCTGAGCCTGAGCCCCTTAGCACCAGAGCCCCACCGTGCTGAGAGCTCTTACCTATGTCAGACCTTGGCTGCGCACCCCCTCTTACAAGGCAGGCAAACCACTTGATTTCTGCTGCCTTCGTCTTTCCATAAAAGGGATTTTGGGGGATAATTCTCCAAGAAATCTCAAGCGATTTTAAGATCAAAAGCTCATTTTGGGTCCTTATCTCATTTCTTCCAGCTATTCAGAGTTTTGTTCTCCTGCATTTGTGGAAGCTCATAAAAATTCATTAGTTATTTTCCAGCTTCGCAGGTGAGAGCAGAGGTTTTCAGAGGGCAAAGCGGACTCCGGCTGAGACGGGGCCAGTAATCCGTGTCGTTGCTTCCACCAGACTCGCTTGTTCCAAGCAGGTGCGTAGAGTGAATAACAAGCAGAAATGCGCCATGGTTCCTCTATTCCAAGAAACAAGGTGCTTGGAGGCTCACTCTTCAAGCATTTTTTTTCAGGAGGTATTGACTGATTTGTTTGAATTTTGAGCTCCAGTCAAGAATGCAGAGTGTAATTGTATTTCCACTCTAACCAAAATGTTCAGGACTTGTGCATAAAATATTGACCCTTTTCTAACTTGTAGTCTTTTTGGTGAGTGAAGGGAAAGGATAGCAGGGACTTAATTTTGTGTATTAGAGAGATAAGATGTCCCAAAGCATAACCCAAGCCAGGTCACCTGACCCTCATTCACATGTAATAAACATCTCAGGAGGCTTCTCTCCCTACCTGTGACACTAGGCATTTGCATGCTCATCCTGTTATTGTTATATAGTTTATTCTGCATTTTTTGCCATGAGATGGAAAATGCAAACCAGATGGTTAAAATCCATGTGGCTGCGTGTGTAATGAAAGACAGTTATATAGTCACACAATCTTTCTCTTACACACTCACTCACACACACACACCACTCATACGTCTGGAGTTTGACTTTACTGTGCAGCTGATTATAATCCTGCTTTGGCTTGGTCCATATTATCACTGACCAGGGGACCCAGAGAGACAGCTGAAGAAGCACTAAGCTGACCATCCACTTGGGGTTATTTGAGAGTTGTTCATAATACTTAGGAGGCACCTCCAAGTACATGGCTGTAGTGGGTGCTGCCCAGTCAATTGCACTGGACCCTTCCTGTTATACAAAAAACCTCACATAAAAACAGCATCAGTAGGAAACCAGAGCAGAAGATAATATTGCCTAAGTAGGTAACAGGGTCCATGGAAGCAAACCAATCTCAGGTCTTCGTCCCTCGGGAGTGTCCCTGTGGGTCAGGCTGCGCAGGCAAGACACAGGAGCCTGAGGGCGCGGTTCAGGACTGTGGCACATTTCTGACCTCCCTTTATATGTAACTGTGTAGTCTTTGGAGGGGAGAGGAAGGACTTGGGAGAATCAAGTTTGGGAAATTCTGCATTAAACAAAGTGAAACGGTTTTCTTTAGCCTTTAATATTCAGGTTTTATTGCAAATCTCTAAGAGGTTGAAATATAGTAGGGAGTTTTTCCAAACTTTTTTTGTGTGTGATTTTGTTTTTAATTCCTAAGCCTTATGGATCACATAATTTACAATTTTGTGTTGATGATATATTCTCCTCTACTTTAATCTTTTTAGTGAGTTGGCGAAAACACCATTACCAATCACATGTATATAGTAATTTTATAGTCATTTTTGAATAGCTATTCAAGACAATCCTGAATTATAATTTAGTCTGACTTAAAGAATTCACAGTTTGCTACTATACCCTGTCACGCTGAATTTTAGAAGCATCTGACCTTATAGAGCATCTATAAAATATGAGAAATGTTAAATATTCTACATTTGATATTATACACAAACCACACTAAAATGCCTTTCATTAAGTAAAAAGCAACAGTTTACATATAGGACATTTTAATTAAATTGGCATAATTAGGACCAAAAAGATAAAGTGAGTCTGCCAGCTTATCTTCAGTCCTTGCCTTTTAACAGGCTAATGAACACAATTTGAAACAAGCAAGTCTTGCTTTTCTAATAAACAGTGAAGGGATTTCCTCTGTATTTAAACATGTTAATATAACCAGTTACATAAATCTAAATATAAAACCCATCTCCTACTGGTGTTGAGGCAGCATTCACCATCTCTATGAAAAGTCGAATATTACAAATAAAGTCCAATCGTATTTTTGAAGAGGAAAAGAGTGATAGCAGTTGCTGAATCAAAATTACCATCCAAGTTCAAAAAGCTGATTATATTCATATAACCACAAGCCAATATTATTTAAATCAGAATTACCCAAAAGAAACATTGTATTAGCCATTCGTGATCTGAATTCTGGTGTATGAGATCAATTTAAATATGGTACACATAAAAAAAGCCACGAGACATTTGTTATAAATAAGGCAGTGGCCAATTATTACTCATTAGCAGCTTTTCTGAGATAAGCTACCAAAGCTGCCCTTTCTGAACTCTTCTTAATGCCAGCGAAGATCAGCTTTGTTCCAGGGATGCACTTCTTGGGCTTCTTCAAATACTCCATCAGCATAGCCCCTCTCCAGGGAGTGCCTTTGTTCTTGTTGGCATCAGTGTAAGAAAATCCTGGGGCATGACCTGTCTTTTGCCCAAAAGGACCGTGGAGATTTGGCCCAGTCCTGCGCCTGCTTCCCTGGTCCACAGTATGGCACTGGGCACACTTCTGAACAAAAATCTTCTTGCTCTCCTCAACATCACCCATTTTAATATCGCTCTTTTGCGGCATGAAATAAGGAGGTTCCCACTCACACTCCGGACATCCCGCTCGTTAATAATCTCCCCAACCTTTTTTTGACCTGGGAGTCTTCACTAGGAATCACTGACATGTCCAAGGGCACTAATGTCCCACAAAACCCAGCTTAGAGAATGTCATGTGCAGACGTCAGGGAAGCCCCAGCTGTCGAGGGTCACCAGCTCCACTCAGACTCAGCTCCCAACCCAGTGGGGACATTCCAAGGTAGTGGACTTAACATTTGAGGACCCATATCCTTGGGAGGCACATGAAAGCTTGCTAAGGGTACATGGTACATGGATTAAAAAACAACAAGTGTTGTTTTTTAAATGTTGTTTTTAAAAAATGGCAGGTCTACCATTTACATGTGCACACTTTCCTGAAATAGCTCAGCCAAGAGCTGAATGGCTGTGAACCTGCCAATGGAAGGGAGAGTCTCCGTCTCATCCCCCTTTTGCAACATCCGTTTCGTAAAAGCAAGAGGTTCCTCTCAGTCCCCTCTTCTTAGTGTGGTGCGTTGCCCCCAGGGAGGCAGATCTCTTGGATGCCAGACAAAATGCTGTTTTTTTAAGGATGTGTGTGAATGAGTCTATTGACTGAGTAATAAATCTTTTTGTAACTCAGATGATTTTTAATTTTCTGCTTTCCTGAAAATTGAGGGAAGACCTAACTGAGCTGTCAGAGGATTGGATCATTAAAAATAATTTTGATGCTAGAGCATCAAATTGGAAGGCGCTCTGTAATTGACGTTGCCACGATTAAATTCCTTTCATTCTCATCTAGTTATTTTTATGAAAAAGGTTTCAGAGTGTGTACAATATTTGTTAACAACAACAATTGGAAAATGGGAATAATGTTGAAGAGGAACACCATCTATAGTAGTTTCTTTTTGCAATAAAATTTTACTTTATATCCTCTGACTGGTGTGGCTCAGTGGATTGAGTGCTGGCCTATGAACCAAAAAGTGACCAGTTTGATTCCCAGTCAGGGCACATGCCTGGGTTGTGGGGCAGGTCTTCAGTTGGGGGCTTGCTAGAGGCAACTGATCGATGTTTCTCTCCCTCTCTTTCTCCCTTCCTTCTCTTTCTCTAAAAATAGATAAAAATAAAATCTTTAAAATTTTACTTTTTACAGTTAATAATAATTTATAAAAATTATATCTGTTTTGATAAATTACAAATGAGTAGTGCTTACAATGGTAATTCAGTCCAGAAATATTTCTTTGATACCTAGAGCTGTTTGGTTACAGGAAACTTTTAAAATTAATTTCAAATTAATTAAAGTGCAAGATTAATTTCATATTATATAGATTTTTTGCTGGGTGATCAATAAAATAATTTCAGACATAAAATATATCATATTAACATAAAATTACTTGGGGAGAGAGGACTGGAAATACAACTTTAAGGAGTAAATGAAATAATTTTTTGCCTAGTAAAGACAACCTTGTTGGTATATATTTAGAGTGAATTATAGCGGATACCAAATTGCTATGGTATAAGATTATACCAAAAACATTTTTAAAAGTCATATGAGTTTAATTTTTAAGTATTTGATATTTCCAATGCACTAGAAGTTATATCTTTTGCAACTATTTAAACTTTTAAAGACATGTTTTAGATGTTATTTTAAAAGTGTGTGAGAAGACATGTGGTTTTTAATAATTATTTTCTTAGCTCTTTATTTTTATTTTTTATTATGTTTTCATTTATTTATTTTAAAGTATATTTTATTGGTTATGCTACTAGAGATGTCCCATTTTTTTCTCCCCTTTATCCTCCTCTGCCCTGCACCCCCTCCTCCCACCAGCTTCCCCCTCCACCCTTAGTTCATGTCCATGGGTCATTGATATAAGTTCTTTGGCTTCTCCATTTCCTATACTATTCTTAACTTCCCCCTGCCTATTTTTGTACCTACTATTTATGCTTCTTATTCCCTGTGCCTTTTCCCCTATTCTCCCCTCTCCCCATCCCCACTGAGAACTCTCCATGTGATCTCAATTTCTGTGACTCTGTTCCTCTTCTAGTCGTTTGCTTAGTTTGTTTTTTTTTTAAGTTCAGTTGTTGATAGCTGTTGAGTTTGTTGTCATTTTACCGTTCATAGTTTTTTATCTTATTTTTCTTAGATAAGTCCCTTTAACATTCCATATAATACGGGCCTTGGTGATGATAAACTCCTTTAACTTGACCTTATCTGAGAAGCACTTTATCTGCCCTTCCACTCTAAATGATAGATTTGCTGGCTAATGTAATCTTGGATGTAGGTGCTTGCTTTTCATGACTTTGAATACTTCTTTCCAGCCCCTTCTTGCCTGACAGGTTTCTTTTGAGAAATCAGCTGATAGTCTGATGGGAACTCCTTTGTAGGTAACTGTCTCCTTTTCTCTGGCTGCTTTTAAGATTCTCTCCTTATCTTTAATCTTGGGTAATGTAATGTAATTATGATGTGCCTTGGTGTGTGCTTCCTTAGGCCCAGTTTCTCTGGGACTCTCTGAGCTTCCTGGACTTCCAAGAAGTCTATTTCCTCTGCCACATTGGGGAGTTCATTATTTTTCAAATAAGTTTTCAATTTCTTGCTCTTCCTCTTCTCCTTCTGGCACCCTGTGATTTGGATGTTGGAACATTTAAAGTTGTCCCAGAGGTTTCTAAGCCTTTCCTTATTTTTTTGAATTCTTGTTTCTTCATTCTGTTCTGGTCGAATATTTATTTCTTCCTTCTGCTCCAAATTTAATTTTGAGTCCCAGTTTCCTTCCCTTTACTGTTGGTTCCCTGTGTATTTTTCTTTATTTCACTTTGCATAGCCTTCACTTTTTCCTTTCTTTTGTGATCACACTCAACCATGTCTGTGAGCGTCCTGATTACCAGTGTTTTGAACTGTGCATCTGATAGGTAGGCTATCTCTTCATCGCTTAGTTGTTTCTGGAGCTTTTATCTAGTCTTTCCTTTGGGCCATATTTCTTTGTCTTGGCACTCCTGTTACGTTGTAATTCACAGAGCCTTAGGTACTTGCCAGGGCGGGGCATCCCATGTGACTGCGTCATGGTGCTGCGTGTGGGGGAGGGGTCAGAGAGGGAACAATGCCGCTTCCTTGGCTCTCAGCCGGCTTTCAAGTCACTTCTCTCACTACCCACAAGCAAATTGGGCCGTTGTAGTGCTAATTCCTGGGTGAGTGGGCTTGTGTATGTTCTAGGACCCTGTGAGTCTCTCCAATGAACTCTCCTGTAACGCCAGGCGTTTCTCCCACTGTCACAACCCCCACAAGTTTTTACAGCCAATGATTTTGAGGCTTTCTTTTCCCTGCCCTGGAATCCTCGGTTGCATGGTCTGTCTCTCTCCCCATTTGTTCCTTTGGGGTTATTCCCATGCAAATGTGGGACCACCAGCAGCAACTTCCTCCACTTGGTCCTCCAGCCACCACCTTGCTGCGAGTCCTCTCTGCCCCGGCTGCCCGTCTCCGACCCTCCTACCAGCCTGGATGAATGTTTCTTCTTTAACTCCTTGGTTGTCGGACTTTCTTACGGTTTGATTTTCTGGCAGTTCTGGTTGGTTTTGTTTTTAAATTTGTTGTTTCCCTTCTTTTGCTTGTGTGAGAAGGCAAAGTATATCTACCTACAGCTCCATCCTGGCTGGAAGTCCTGAAAATTATTTTAAAGGGTAATTAAGAAAGAAGTTGAAGATCTCACATCCAACAACATGTAAGGAAAATGAAAAGGTAGGGATCCAGCGATGGCGATATTTGGCTTAAGTCAGGCTCTGTGCTGCTCTGTCTTGCATTCCCGCCACATCTCCCCTCTGCCACCCCTGTCGTCTGGCACCTTGGTCTATCCAGGTCTAGGTCCTCTCAACTTCCAACTTAATGTCCCACAGTACAGCTAATCTCCTCCCAGACGTGATACTCATTTCTTTTGAGCTTGATAATCAACCATATGGACGTGGCCTTGAGGCCACCTCATTGGACCTGTCCCAGCAGCATGGCCCCTGCCCCACACTTACCACCTCATTCTTGCCCCAAATTCCAAAAACCCTCAGAAATCCAACATTGGTCTTGGTCCCTGAGGCCTTGTCCACTCATTACCATCTCATGAATTAGCATTAATTTGTAGGTTTGCAGTTTTCAAAGTGCTTCCCTCTATTTGTTATCTAATTTAGATCCTGCCACAACTTGCTGTGATAGGTGAAGAAATTGGGGCTCAGAGGATTGAAGTGATTTGCCAGTAATTTCACAGCAAGAAATGGCAGAGTTAATATTTGGCTCTAGATCCCCTGTCCTCAAACTCTATAATTTATCCATGGCATCTCATGGTCCCTGGGGAGCCTGTTTTGGACACCATTTGGGACCGCCTGAGTCTGAGGCGGCTCACTCCTCCACTCCCTGAGTGAGCCCCACCCCGGTGACAGTGATGTGTGTTAGCACAGTCTCCTTGCCTGGTTGGGGTCTCCTTCAAGAGTCTCCACCAGACACTTGGAATGGATGAACAGACAGCAAGATGGAAATCAACACATTCACATACTTAACTCAGAACAAGCTATTATGGTGGGGAGCCAAGATGAGATGAATATAAACAAATGTTCACATAAAAATGTGCTAGATTTGCCACGAGTTGTGTTTTAGACTATGGAATAGTTGTACCAGAAATAAGACTTGTCAGATGTCAAAATACCAGTTATCTCGCTTTAGTTTTGATTTTTAATTAAAGACAAAGACATTCTGAAACCAGAAGATGTACTAGGTGTTTCAACTTACCTCAGAGGGCCCAAATAGATATTTCTGGCTGAATAAGTCAACTTTATGCTTTGTGTGTTATCTTTGAAAACACTTGGAGTGCTGTGTTTGTGCTTTAGTCCATTCAGGTTGCTAGACATGCATTTTGGAAAAAAAATTACTCCATTTTGGGGGCATGATTTTTTTTTTTTTAATTCCTCAGAGTGAGGTATTTCATTGAGGTTGAGTCCTCAAGATCATTATAAAGT